ATATATATAGATATACATATATCTGTCTAGGCATACTTGGCGAACTTGAGTTTGGTCGATACGGCATCGCTATAGATGGGCTCAACATGCTGGCGATGTATCATAAAACTATTGTAATCGACACGGGCATTCGCATCGGTATCGCTATGCAGCCAGCGGACAAATCGATGCATTTGCTTAAGAAATGCCACCTTGCCCTTATCGATATGATCGACCTCATACCAGCGCACAATGGCATCCTCATTGAGGACACCGGCCCGATACAGGTGGACGGCCAGTCGTTCGAATGACTTGAATAGCGAAGGATGCTCGTAGCACCATTCCTGCAGGCGCATCAGCAACGCTATCTGAGCGCTATCCGTGCTGCAGAGGGCGTTCAGCAGCGGTGCATAGATTTGCAGTTTACGCAGCGCCTGCTCCGGCGTCGCACTGCCATGGCTTTTCATATTAGCGTTCGTTTCGTTGATTGTCTGCCAGACAATGCCAATGATTTCCGAATCGGACATATGCCGTTCCCGTTGAAATTGCCGCACATTCATTACAATCTCCAGTTGGGGCAGCTTTTCGCGAAAATCATCGAGCAAACGCTGCTTCAATTGCTTCCGCAACACCAGCCCGGCGCGCTCCTCATGCAGCTCGATCACCTCATTTAAATCGCTCTCCTGATACACCTGCCGGAAATACAAATCGCTGCGCAGCATTGGCGGCATGAAGCTGATGATTTTGTGCTCCAGCCCGGACTTCTTGAGCACTTGCAGCATGAAACTGGAGCCCCGCTCACTTTTCAGCGCGCCGCAGATGAGCAGCATAAACTCCATGGCCAGGCCGTCGTCGATGTTCGCCTGGTCCGTGCCCAGCTCCAGCAGCGAACGTGGATTCAATTGGCCGTCGATCAAGTACAATGCCATCAGCAGGGCGAGACGTCGCCGGGCGCCCATATCAAACTTCGCCAGCTGGCGGATATATCGCTGGGCATGCTCCTCGAAGACCGCGTCCAGGTGCTTGTGGCGTCGCCTCAAACGCATCACCAGCTGCTCGTAGATGCGCAGCGCGTTCAGTTCGTCGTGGGTCTTGAACACGCAGTAGCTCGTCCTCAGCTTCAGATCGCCGCGTGTTGACAATTTCCCATCGGCTGCAAGCAGGCCGCCCGTGTAGAGCACATCGAACAGCTGTTCGCCGTAGTTTTGGTATTCCGGCTTGCTCACAATAGGGTCGAGCGCCTTCCAAGTGGCTTCCAGTTTGCCTTTGGCTCGATCCAGTGCCTCGACCAGCTCGTTGCGATAGCCCAAGCATTCGTTATCCTTTTCCTTCTTCACGCGATTGCCTGTCTTCAGACGAAAGCAGGGCAATATATATTTCGATGCCATCTCACTCTTTCTGTCTCTCTCAGTGCCGTCTTTTCTCTCTCACTCTTCTCTCGTTCGCTTGCACAATTATCTCTTACTTTCGCGCCGCGTACCTTCTCTTCGATCTGTCGCTTGTGCCGCTTAAATGATTCTTTTTCTTCTGTCTGTTATCTATAGTCAGTCATATCGAAAGAAATCATGCGAAAGTCGTGTCTATCTTGGCTCAAATGAAATTTCACGGGGTTCTTGGGGTTGGGGTCGAGTTGTATTTTCTGTACTGTTGTTTGGTTTCTACTGTTTTGGTTTGGATTTGGAGAAATCAGCGAAAACTGATTTTTTTTTTTTGATTTTTTTTGTTTTTTTTTTTTTTTCTACATTAATTTGAAATCTTGCACAAACTAAAAAAAATTATGATTTAGCATAGAACTTTTTTCCCAGCCTGCTTACGAAGCTCACAAATCGATGCTGTTTGGAAAATTGTTTTTATACCCTGAACCCATTGAAAATGGGAAATCAGGGTATAATGGTTTTGTGAAAAAGTATGTAACGGGCAGAAGGAGGCGTGGCAGACCCCACAAAGTATATATATTCTNTTTACTCAGTGAATGTACCAACAGTTGAGCGAATTCTTACAATCAATATCCATTTAAATATACCTAAACTCATTCATTGGCAACTGCAAACATGTCCAATTATATCTGACTCTCAATCAACCAAGTTAGATTATATCTGACTCTCAATCAACCAAGTTAGACTGCGGAAAACGTCCTCATTGGCATTAAATATTTATATTTAACTATGTCACATGGTATCACGTGGCATCCCTTTGGTGAAGGGTATAAATTGAAAGATATACGCATATATTTTTTCAGGCGTTTTTGTGTTACTTTTTCCAACATTTTGTGACATGATTTTTGTTTGTTTTCCCAAGTCTGGTGTCGACGTAGCTTTTTGTTTGTTTGTTTTTTGTATTTTGCAAAGGATACGTTTGCCAACATATTGTGCTCAGTTTGGTTTGTTTTTGTTTTCTTTTTTTTTTTTCTGGCCATGTTTAAGTTTTTGGGACATTCTATTTAACGAGAGCTTGTTGATAAAACGAGCTGTGAAGAAGTATTCCGACTACAGTTTGTTTTTGATTCAATTTGAATAGACTCTGGTAGACTCCTTTAATTGGTGTTAGCTTTGAATAGTTAAATTCCACAGATTTTAAAGTAATTTGTAATTTGAACTTTATATTGAAAATCATGTATATATCGAACCAATAAATAGTTAAATTTTATAAATTTGAAATCCTTTTTTAATATGAACTTATAGTACATGAGACAATTCTTTTATCAGCAATAATATTAAAACTTTAGTCCTTAGCACAGTGCCAATAATTTTCTCGTTCCTTAATAGTTAACTTAAATTTTTTTTGGGTAGTCCATTGAGTCCAGAAGAGCAATTTATTTTAATTATTAAAAAAATAATAGAATATGGGAATATATCCCATATATGTATATAAATACAGCTCAACTACTCAGGCTGTGGTATTCTTACATTGATTAGTATTAACAATTTAATTAATATTAATATTGGTTTTACATTACTTTCCTTTGGCTTATTGGCTTTTCTTTACCACAATATTTGTCTTGGTCAATTGGCCAGACAGCTCATTTCGTGGCAATTAAATTGAATTGGAAATTTGCTCAAGTCCACAAAGTTGTCGTCGCATCGTCAACGACTCGCCATCAGATGATTTATTATTATTAACGCCAGAAAAGTTTTCCTTTTGCCCGGCCAAATGATTAAAAAACAAAATCCAGTGGCCGAGAAGCTCTTGAGCAGGGAAACTATTTGCAGCGCGTTGCACGCGTCTCTTCTTCAGTTGGCTCAAAACTTTGTGCCTTTGTGCCTTTATCATCGCTTCTCCCCGAATTTCTATGTTAAATTGTGTGAACTTTTTGCAGACAACTGGCGGGACGACACTTTATCATGTCTCAGTGCTGTCGCTGACCGCTTTTCACAAATTGAAATGTGTCCGCGGCAGTCAAGAGTAAATGAGCCAAGACGAAGCCGCAGTCACAGCGGGTCGCAGCAGCTCCCCTTCGGCACGCGCCCCCCTCTATCTGTACAAGGCTGGACAAATCCCGCACAAAGAAAAATATATTGTAAGGATTGGCCGCTTTTGATTATTATGCCCTGTGGCCACTCACAAAATGGGCAAGTCACACTAGTCGACCTACACATACATTCCTCTACAATTCATAAATCTTGAGTTTTTTGATAAACGAACTGATGGATCGGCCTTTATATTAATGTAAAAGTTATCAGAAATTTTGAAATACAAAACAAATTTTGCTAATAAAATGAATACAGAGGGTATTTGCGAGTCGATCACTAACAATTTCTATAACTGTTATAATTAAGAGTTAGCTTGTATTTATAAAACTCTAAGAACTTCAAGTTGTTATTTTCTTTTAAAATTAGGATCTCAGTCTATAAATGTAAAATGAATGAATTTCATGTCTTTAAGCTGGCTCTGAATACTATCTAGACATCCAGGGTACAGCCCAGTCGATACCGTATTTAAGGCCCTCTTCTTTTCAATTTTGTATTTGACATCTGAAAGTTGTTTCTTGACCGCATTTGTCAAATATTAGGCTTAAGTGATTTTTGACAGCTGAACCTGAACCTATTTTATATCTATCGAAGGCATATTTTCTGCTTCGTTTAAGGGTAATTTGCGCCCGACTCAGGGTGAATGTGGCGTATGCGTAATTTTCAACAAAAACTTGAAATCACCCAGAGGCGCAAAACACATTTGCAGCCCAAAGGAATTTAAGGGTGATTTTCTATTTGCTCATTCGCTAGAAATTGAAGGATTTGTTGAGGAAAGTTAGAAAGCATCGCCTACAAGTTATGATGACTGTGCAGCGTGTCACATTGAGGCATATTTTATTTACTTACAAATTTTCAATTCTAAGAAATCGAAAAAAATTACTTTGAACTTTAATTAATTTAGTTTATGTGTTCGAAGAACATTATGTAAAATAAAATTATTTAAAAATTTTCAGCTATTATTATCTATTTCAGTGTTTTCATTGCTCTTCGAATACTTGATATTGAGAACTGTCTACCGCAAACTGAATAATATTGCATTGCTGAAGTATTTCAGTGGATTTAAAATATTACTTCTTCCCTTTTTATTTTGATATCGAAATCATTTACAAAAAATTTCGAATTGAATACACTAAAATTTGTTGGTATGCAAAAAGTCGGCGATAGTTCTCAAAAGTGAAGGTTTGCAAGAAAGTGTATTCGGTGTAATCGAACAGTGTGTGGCAGAAGTTGAGGTGAAAAATTAAAAGTTAACATAATCTAGTTCACGGCGCAATCTCAATGTGAGCCGCAGCCTGCCCAGCTCCCTGTCGAATTTGGCCTGACATCGATCGACGTCCACGGGGTGGGGCAGCGGGAGCTTGAGCCTGTACAGGGTGGTGCCCAGGTCCAGTTCCTGCTCGTGCAGCGTCAGGCTCATTTTGTCAACGGCCATTTGCTCGCCGGGCAACGCAATCTCTAGAACGAGATCTTCACAGCTCGCCGAGGCTGCTGTGCGTTGGCCCATCTAAGTGGAAGAGAATACAGCTTAACACTGGGGAGAGGCAGACAGACAAAAGGCCAAAAGGGTTAGTGCCAACCTGCAGAAATACGTCCTCAGTGCCAACGGCCTGCCGGTAGGTCATCGTGTACTCTGGGCACTTGCGCGACTCCAAGATGTCGGCATCCTCCCGCTCCTGCGCCTCCTGCCACTCCTCAAGCGTGCGGGGCTGCGCCTTTTCTGGCTCAACCAGGGGCGTTGCCACCAGGTTAACCTTGCCCTTCTTACGCGCCTTGGCAGCGTCACCGGCTGCTGGTGGTCCRATGCTGCCGGGTGCTGAGTGAGCGGATGGGACACATGAAGCGCTCCTGTTGTCGTTATGCTCCATTTACTCACTTTGCCTTTTCACCACCAGCGATTCCTCATCTTCGCTGCTGCTGCTGCTGCAGTCGACTCCTCCCCGCCTGCGTGTGGGACACAATAAACTTTGCAGCTGCCGCAGCTGGTCGGGATTGTCGAAAAGCGACATCGCTCACAATTATTATTTACTCCAAAACTTTATTTAAAAGTAACTTATTCTATTACTATATTTTTTTTGTCAGCGCCTTTCACGTCTTTACAGCTCAGAACTGGGGAAAGGAATGAATATTTACGGACTCTGCTCAGCGCAGCTGAATCAAAATCGATTTGGTTGGATACCCAGCCTACTCCTCGGCAGAAGTTAGGTTGCTAGGCTACTACCAAGCCTACTTATCGATGCGACTTGGGTTGCTAAGGCCGTTTACGGCCATGGAGCAGCTGTAACATGTTTGTGTTTATTATGTTGTCCAGGAAACGGAGCCCAAGAAGGGTCTGCAGCTGAAAAGGTACTCGATTGTAATCCCCATTAGCCATAAATGGGATCGGAACGGAAGGCCCCTGCACTCAATGCTTTGGCCTAAGACAAAGTAAACACGAGTAATTCACAGCTGGATGAAAGCGGCTTCGAAACTTTGTTTTGCCAGTCTGAATGAAATAATAACAAACTGCTGGTCCTTGTATTACAATATAAGGCCTTGAGTTATCAAATCTATTTGCGAAATGTATATGAACACTGAAATCAATACATTGTGAATACCTTTCGAGTTCCGAAATTCAATTTCAATATAATATTTCACAATTTTGCAGCTTCTGCTGCAACCTAAGGCTAAGTTCATAATTCACTGTCAAGGATAAGCAATGGCAGCTTCAGCTTTCTCCCCCTCCCTTGCTCCACTCAGGCATTTCAATTAAAAACTTGGTGCCATTCAGAGAAAAAAAGTTTTTGCTATGCCTGGCCCCCGAGGCACTCGACAACTAGTCCAAAAATTAACTTTCACGAGTCGCAAAAATTATGACACTTGTCAAAAACAATTGTTTTGTAAATGTAAATTATTTTTGTAAATTCAAATTGCTGCTGACCTTCAATGGGTCGCAACGGCCGGCCATAACGCAACAACTCGCCCTAATTGGGGCCAAATGTAAATCGGCTGGGCGAAAGCGACATTACAAAAACCTAGCCGCGTGCTTAATGTAAACAGCATGACTTTCACACCGAAAACACACAGCCGGCGACTGGCTGGGATCCACATATTCAGACATTCAGCTACATGGGGCCTGAGCTGCCGGGCTGCAGCTGAATGCAAAAGGATTTCCGTGCCGTCCATTTTGTCGGCTGCTGCTGCGGATGTTTTTCATTGCCGTGGATCGTGCGCGTTTAATTTGTTTAACATGCGAGTTCCGCATTGCACGAAACAGGAAAACGAAACGAAGCAGACTGCCTAATGCTCGTTCAAAAAGTAAGCCAGCGTCCTCCGATTGGTCTGTAGAGAATGTTGGCTAAGCTTAATGTTCAGTTTCTGACGAATGACATTGGATGAAACCAATTATACTCTTTTAATATCTGTCTGGCAAATGTCGGATTTCGTTGCTAACCACTGGGCAAGCCAAAACAGTTTTACCTAGAAATTATTCTAACTGTCCTAGTTAGCTGTAAGCCATGTAATTTCGACACAGACTCGTTTTGCATGAGATAAGGCACAACCCAGCGTTACCCCTTAAAGTTATTGAACTTATTTATGTTCTGCTTTCTTGAAATATTTTATATATTTTGAATTTAATTTAAGTTTATTTCAGTTTTTGATTTAATTTTGATTATATTTTTTATGCACTTTAA